CTGCAGAGCTATGCCCAGAACTCTTTGTTTGGGTCTTACAGTACAGCTCAGGGTCTTCACGCCCCCATCCCGAGTTTGGGATTGTAAGGTTGCACACCACACTGGATATGTTTCTTTGTTGTCCAAACTAGATTCCAAATTCCTTGAAGCAACTTACATTTCTTATCCTTTTGTCCTTCGGGTATATCAGTAAAAAGGGTGCTCTAGGCTGTTGGAGGAAATAACACCTCTGCAGAAATATTCGTACAGAGTTGTTGTCTTCCACCCTCTTCTCAGTGGCCAGTCTTTGCCCAGTAAGGGTACTTGTAGGAGGTCAGGGGCTAGTCTGCAAGTACCTATTAAATAAAGTGTCTGAAGAGGGCCCGCACCATGTCTCTATGTACTTGCTCTAGCAGCCTGCTGAGCTGAATTCACTACCTGGAACCCAGTGAGGGAGGAGAGAACTGACTCCCAAAAGGTCCCCCCGTCCTCCACAGGTGTTTCCACACTCACTGTCTCATGCACAATCATAATAAATGCATTTAAAAAAATAAAGGTCTCTGCGTTTTTCAGCTATTTCTCACTCAACTTCCCCAACTGGCTTTGCCTCCTACCATGAGTACAGGTACCCTTGATCCTAACTACAAAGGGGACACATTATCAGAACTCTGTCACAAAGTTGCTTAAATTTGTAAGCAGACAGAGCTAGGAGGCAGGTCAGCCCCTAGCCCCCAGCCCCAGTAGAGCCACAACCAGCACTGGATCCTGATTTTGTTTCGCAGCCCGTGTCTTCTGTCTTCCCCCACTGTGGTCCCCAGCGCTGCAGCATTAAATATGTACCCATTGTTCCTGCTTAAAACTGAAGAAAGAAAGACACCTTGCCACAGTGACCCTGCACCGAGTGTCCTCCCTGCCTGCTGCTGCTTCTCCACCGTGTCTAACAGGCTGACAGGCTCCCTGCTTTAGTCCACTCTCCACCCTCCGTCCCAGCACCGCCATCCCTGCACCTGGAGCTCCTTTAAATGCACAGTGAACTTGGTGGCATTTCTCTAGGTGGTGTCTTACTTGACACTTGACCACTTAGCAGATTTGTGCGCATGTGCATATACTCATCCATGTTTGCGGTTGGGGGAGCCCTTGTAGGTTAGTGTGTACACATGGTAGTGTTGCCCATTGTGCATATCAGCTGTTCTCCATCACTTTCCCACCTTTTTCTTTTCCTTTAAAAAAGATTGTGTCTGTCGTCTGTGAGAAGGTATGTTGCATGTGTGTGGATGTCTGAGGAAGCCAGGAGAAAGCTTGTGTCCCCTGGAGCTGACAGTACTAAGTTCTCTGATATGGGTTCAGAGAACCAACCTCAGGTCAGCTGGAAGAGCAGGAAGTGCTCTTAATGGCTGACCATCTCTCCAGTGCCTCTACCTCCTGCTTTGAGATGGGGTCTTTCACTGACTCTGAAGCTCACTCATAGGCTGGACGGAGTGGCCAGCAACCCCCAGGGACCCTCCTGGTCCCACTGTCATAGCACTGGGATTGCAGGTGTACAGAGCCACACCCAGCTTTTGATATGGACCCCAGGGCTCTGGACTCAGGGCCTCATGCTGAGAAGACACTTTTACTAACCTAGCCATCTCCCCAGCCCAGCTGGTAGCAGACTTGAATGCTATTGATGACCCCTCTTCAGAACCTGTTTTCCTGGTTCCTACTCTCCCCATCACTTCCGCACTGTTGTTTTGTTGTCTCATCTGTCTGTGCTTTAAACTTGGTGCTCCTTGGGGTGATTATGGAAACTGGCTCTTAATGTGACTCACTTGCTCTTTGGTCTCTACCTGCTCCTTAAATCTTGGTATCTACATGCTCAAGGGTCCTAAGTCTTCATGTCTAACTTAGGTAAATACTTCTGGTCTTTCAGGCCACTCATATCCTGTTCCCTTTTAGAGATTTCCTCTTGTCTAGGAGACCTGCAGGTACTCCAGATCTAGTGTATCTGAGATGAGCTCATCCCCCACTTTTATAATCTTGGTGAGTGGCACCTTTTACTGTTTTCAAATTGATGTTTTTGTTTTTGTTTTTTTCCAAGATAAGGTTTCTTTATATAACAGTCCTGGCTGTTGTGGAACTCGCTCTGTAGACCAGGTTGGCCTCGAACTCACAGATATCCTACTGCCCCTGCCACCCAAGTGCTTGCGCCACCACTACCCAGCCATTTGGTGACTTTTAAGCTAGAAAAGTAAATATTATACTGATCTTCCACTTCATGGGATGGGGAGCATCTGCTCTGATGAGGAGGTGGAGCAGGGTACAGTGAAGGTGATCTTTAAAGAGGCTCCCTATCCGCACTGCCTCCTGCCGTGCCTCTGCTGGTGTCGGCTCCCTGCGCTTCTCTGTAGGTCCGTGCATTTCTCTGTAGTTCGTCATCTCTGTTTCATGTTTAGTCTGTCTTCTTTCCTGGAATATTACCACATCTTAAGAAGATGTCCTTGGGCTGCACATGGTGGCTCACACCTTTAATCCCAGCACTCTGGGAGCAGAGCTGGAGGCCAGCATGGTCTACGTTGTGAGTTACAGGATAGCCAGGGCTGTATTGAGAGGTCCTGTCTCAAAACAAAACAAACAAACAAAATCAACCAGCTAAACAAACAAAAAAGAAGTTGTCCTTCATCCTTATCCCTTCTAATCTCCACACTGGCCGTAAAGCCAAAACCTGACCATACATTTCCCGGGGTAAGGCTTTCACTGGTGCCTGTTGACCGTATGTTGAAATTGCCTTTGTCTCCAGCTGTCCTCTGTAGTTCTAGCTGCCCTGTAATTCCCATTCCTTCGTGATTTCCCCTCTTCCATACATGCCATTCCTTTTTTCCTTCTTGCTTTTTGATTTTTCGAGACAAGGTTTCTCTGTATAACTTTGGAACCAGTCCTGGAACTAGCTCTGTAGACCAGGCTGGCCTCAGAACTCTGAACTCCCGAACTCACAGAGATCCGCCTGCGTCTGCCTCTTGAGTGCTGGGATTAAAGGCGTACACCACAACCTCCCGGCTCATACAGGCCGTTTCTTTAGCTAAGCCACTGTCTATTTCACTAAGCATTTCTTGGTTTTTTAAGTAGATGCCACTCCCCTCAGGAAACACCCACAAACCTGGCTTAGGTGGCTTTCATCCATGCCCCTCAGATGCGATGCCCCACCTTTGTGATAGGACCACTGCTAGGAACCGCCCTCCTGTGACCACAGTGGTTAGAGCGTGACTCTGGGGCAGTGTACGCGGTGGTCTGGACCACAATGTGACCTCATGTGCAGGCTTAGTTTAGAAGGTATTTGCTATAGGTCAGGCTGCTAACAAGCAGTGAGATGTCAGGAAGGTGGGGAGAGAAGGAGAGTCAAGGTAATGTGTAACCCACAGATTAGCAAGTAACCCCATGAGCATCCCACGCCACCCGCTCCTGCGCTAAATCGACTGTTTGCTCTGCTAGAATGTCAGATAGGAAGTTTCTGGAGTGTCATGTTTTGACAGCAGAGACAATGCAATGGTTCTTCCAACAAAATTGTGTGAACTGTAGTGTGTGACCTGTGTCCAGGAAAAATGCTGTACCTCTCCTGAGGGGAGTTCTGTATTTGTGTAGCTCTTTGGTGAGTACACTTACTAAGTCGCCCCTGGGATTAATACAAGCTAGGTCCTTGTATTAATAGGTCTAAACCCTTGGTTCAAGAGTTTTCTTCATAAACTTTATCATAATATTGCTTTATACCTTGTAAAACTTTGTAATGGGTCAAGGATGTGTAAGAGTGGATGGGGCAGGATTTTCCTCATCTTTACAAAAGAGAAACTGCTACATCAGAAATCAGATAGCTAGTGAGTAAAGGAGCCAGGTTTCTTGCATGCATTCGGCTTTAAGTTCGGTTGTGTTATTAGAGTATTCTCATTCTCTCTCTCTCTCTCTCTCTCTCTCTCTCTCTCTCTCTCTCTCTCGGCAATTATTAAATCTCGTCTATGATCTGAACTAGTTGAGAAAGCCAGTGTTAGTGTAGATCAAGCTGGGTTGGAGGATATAGCCTGGACTCAGAGGAGTCTCTTTCCCAGCGTCTGAGAGGGTTCTCCATAGGAGAAGGTAAGGGTAGTTTTTCCTTCTAAGAGATGATTGACTTGTGGGGAGTACATGCAAGCTCCTTGAGAGCAAAGATGTTTTTCTTACATGTCCTGTGCCCGGTGTGCACGGGACTGAATGTGGACTGAGCTCAGCAGTCCTGGCCCATCTATGGTCCTCGTTTGTCTCTGGTCTAACACAGAAGTAGCAGAGCATAGCTGGTGGAAGGATAGGCCTAGTGAGTGCATGGGTGCTGATTAAATAGTTGCATATTGTCTGAGGACATGCCATCCCAGCCATTGGCCATGCTCGGACTGTGCAGGGACCTGCCTGACCCCGTGACCTCTTCTAGAGAGCAGGTAGTCCCTTGACTCCTTCTGCCCTTTGTGCCTCAGAATTGCTTCTCATGTGTTCTCTTGTGAACATCCTCAGATGCATCCTCTTGAAGATGTCTTTCTCTTTCTTCTTCTGTTTCCTTGTTGAGCTTTCCTGTTCATGTCCCAAACACTCTCCTTCCCACTGGGGTGGATAAGAGAGTAGCTCTGTGGACACTCTTCCTGCACCAAGAAAAGCGTTGTAGTTAATAAAAAATAAGGTTTGTCAAGTATTGAAAGTACCCAGAAGACTCATTTTAAAAGGCCTCAGACGGTTTTTAATATCTCCTAATTAAGCTTTCACAGGAGCAGCAGCAGCATTAAGAATAGGTGGGATTTTTAGTTTCATTTTAAAATTCATTAGTACTGTCCTTACATCACAAGTTCTCACAACCAACGTTAGGAAGCCGACGGCGCTTTGCATATTGTTTAGACAATGTGCAGGTTTACATGGCCCACCAGGTTCAGCCACTGTGTTGAGTGTGCTGAGGTCTCCGTGGTCTAGTTTGGAATAGAGGCGTTTCTTCTCTTCCCCCACACAACTTAAGGACTTTGGTGTCTCCTCCACAGGAAAGGCTTTTGACATCACTTACGTGCGTCTCAAGTTCCACACCAGCCGCCCGGAGAGCTTCGCCATCTACAAGCGCACTCGGGAGGACGGGCCCTGGGTTCCTTACCAGTACTACAGCGGCTCCTGCGAGAACACCTACTCGAAGGCCAACCGCGGCTTCATCAGGACAGGAGGCGACGAGCAGCAGGCTCTGTGCACTGACGAGTTCAGTGACATTTCCCCCCTCACCGGGGGCAATGTGGCCTTCTCAACCCTGGAAGGAAGGCCGAGTGCCTACAACTTTGACAACAGCCCTGTGCTGCAGGTAGGCGCTCACGGGCGGTGTGGGAGCCGGCTGTCCTCCCCTGACTGAGTGTGGAAATTATCTAAGTGAGCCATCACGTGGGCAGCTGGATTTCATGCTGTGTTCATCTGTGCTATCTATATGAAAAAAAGCCATTTTCTCCCTACCGCCTGGGAGACGCTGGTCCTGTATACCTCCCACTTGAAAACATATCCCAGGCTTAACCTTTACAAACAGAAACAAGCTTTAATATTTTGTTTTTTTGAGACAAGGGCTGAGGTGGGCCTTGTGAAGTTGGGGATAACCTTGGACTCCTGACCTCCCAGCCTCCTCCCCAGTGCAGAGTATAGGTGCTCACCACCACACTCAGCTACATTGCAGATTGTATTAACACTGAGCAGTTCTAAATTTCGTCTCTGCACTTCAGGAGGGAGTGGTTCACTTCTGACTTTTTCAAGAAGATATTGGTGTAGGGCTGGGAATATGACTCACTTTGTAGACTGTTTAGTTTCCAGAACCTCCTAAGCCAGGAGAGGTGGAGGCAGGAAGATCAGAAGTTTAAGATCATCTCCAGCTCTGTCTCAGGTTCAAGGCCAGCTTGGAATATATGAGATACTGTCTTTAAAAGACTCTAATTTTTTTTATATTTTAAAGTTTGTGTATGTATGTGTGAGGAAAACAGCAAAGGGAAGCTGGTTCTCTCCTTCTACCCTGTGGATTCCAGAGATTGAACTGAGGCCATTAGGTTTGGTGGCAAGTGTCTTTACCTGCTGAGCCTTCTTTCTGGCCTGCACCTTCCCAAAGTAAGCAAAATAAGATAGTTGAAATAATCTTCCCATTTTTCTTGCATTTTATCCTAATTGCTCCTTGATTTGACACACACACACACACACACACACACACACACACACATTTAAATTAGCAATGGGGAGCAGCCGATGCAAGCTATTTAAGTACTTAAGAATGCTTCCTTGCCCCACAAGGACACTTTGTTTGTGCTGTTCATCGTCACTATGAGAACTCTTTCTTCTTCGCCTGAGAAGTTGAGTTCTAGAGATGGGAAATATGTTAGGGTACTTTGGTACTGTGCTTAAACATCACATTAGAAACTTTTCCCTGCCTTACAGACCAAATCAAAGATTCTTTCACCAGTTCAATGCACGTTCCTTATGCACCCTGAAATGGATTCTCTCTGTGTGGCTCAGCTTTGTTTAAACTTTCCACATGTTCTAGTGCTATGGATCTGGAAAAATGGGGATCCCTGTGTCATTCTTAGTCTGTTGATTCAGACCCCGAAGTCACACCTATTTAGACGGTGATGTTAGTGTCTAAATGGGGGTGGTCTATATATACTCACTGACTGAGGAGGGAAGGAAGGCCTGGATGGGACTCTGCAGATGCTGTGCCAATTTCGTGGACCATCCTGTTCTTCTGGGCTTTCCACTTCTGAATTCTCACTTTCTTTCTCTGACTTTATTATAATTCCTATTTTTACTATAATTACTAATTATGTGATGTGAGAGCACATGTGCACACTGTACTACCCACGTGTAGGTCAGAGGACCACATGCAAGACCATCAACCATGTTGGCTCTGGGGACTGAACTCAGGTCATCAGGCTTGGCAGCAAGCTCCCCACCCACCGCGCCATCTTTCTAGTCCTACAACTTATTCTTATATTCAAGGACACTTTCTGGTTTGGTTGTATAGTTTAGGCATAGCCACAGATGAGAATATGTTTTGCTGTGTATCCAGTGCCCTACCCACTGTGCTCTTTTAGGCTCTCAGGAGATGGTGAATATGAAAGTAAATCCAATTATTTACCAAGGCCTTTCAGGAGAGAGTTCCTGGTGATGTGGATAAAGTAAGTGGCAGAGTGGATAACTGATTTGGATAGATGGAATGGCTAAACACTGAAAGAAAACCTTAGGAAAGGCGATAAAGCAGACATCTGCTAGCCTGTTTCTTTGTCCAGTTGATTGTGTTTCCTGTCCTGGAGAGACTGCAGTGGGACCAGTAGGAAAGAGTGGTCCTCTGGCTCCCCCCCTTGCCGCCCGCGTGCCCATTAGTGTCTCCAGCAGCTCCCCTTGCCGCGTGTGCTTCAGCCTATCTTGAGCAGCTCCCAGCAGGGATTCTGCTGTTAGCTATTCTTTATGCCATAGAAACTAGTGAGGCTCTGTGGTAAGAATGCTTTGGGCGTCTGCATAAATTTTGTGAGTTCATTTCATTGTGCAGTAGCTTTAACTATGTGTGTCTGGATATAAGAGCCCTGGCTCTCATCACTTGAGGCCAAGTCGGGTGAGCAGATTTGACTTCTAGCTGATAAGAGTAAACTGCCTTTTCCCAGATGGAGGAGGAGACCGTCTCAGGTTCCACTGGCTGAGTGTCAGCCTGTATTAATTTGTAGCTCTTACCATCTGCTGTGCACTTAGTTCTGCTGCAATGCAGCAAGCGTGTTCTCAGCCACAGAGACTGAGTCACGTTCTGACGTCTAAATGTTTAAGTCTTTTCAATCTTCTAACTCTGTGAGCTGGATATTGTATTGTCTTCCTTTTTATAGATGAGGAATCAGAGCTGAGGAAGGAGGTAAAGTGCCCCACCTCACAGTGTTCAGTGGCAGAACTGAGGCTGGGGCTCTGCTCAGTTGACCTAGTGGCACCCTGGGAGCTCTCCATCTTCTTTGTAGAGGGAGCTATGGTAGAGCTGAAGCCTGGAGGAGGTATTAGAAGCTTTAAGAGGTGTGCTTAGCTATTTATGTATGGACAACTAACAGATTCCTGCCATTGTGACCTTGAGTGGGAGTTGTTACTGAGTTCCAAGATTGAATACAGTGAAATCATCATCTTCTCCTTTCTAATTATAATTGAAGCTTCATGGAGATTAGTTTTTTTATGAGCCTTCCCTGTTGCCAGGTGTTTGGCATAGCTTAAGGCAGTGGTTCTTTATCAGGAATGGGCCTGCTGATCTCCGAGAGCCCTCTGGAAGCACAAATGCCTGCTTAACCACCCCCCTGGCTCGACACAGGTGTGAGGATGATTCTGACACATTGTACCTAAGTCGGTCTCCTGGACTGGAGTAGAAGTGCTATCTTTGGTCTGAGCTCACTCACCAGGCAGGTCAACTGAGGACTGAATCTTTTGCCCTGTGATCTTCCATGTTGAGAGACCAGCCCAGGCTTTTCACAGAGAGGGCATGAATAGCCCTTCTCGGGCCTCTGTTTGTGTCATATTGACTGCTGTCCTCTCTGCCAAAGCCAGCTGTACATCCAAGCCCAGAGTCAGCATGGACGGGAACTGCACAGGGTGTGGCCCTGGCAGGCCGGTCACTAGGGGTCATTATGATAGCAGTGTGCCACATGTACAAGCAAGCACCTGATAAAGTTAGCTAATCGAAAGGGCATTTATTATAAGGGCTTAGATACCCTAAAGCCAGGGGTGATAGCGCAGCCTTCGCTCTTGCTGCTCTATTAGAATTGCTATGATATACCTTCAATTTGATCAGATGCAGATTTGTTCACTCTGTGCCAAGTGTGAGGGACACAGCACTGAATAAAATCAACACAATTTCCTACCCTTGTGATCCCTTTAATCAGGTGTTGCAGGCAGTGTTGAGATGGGGGACATAAACAAATCAATGGGGTGGTGATAATTTTCAGATTGGCCGGGGAAGATCCAGCAGGCGATGTCGCGGGAAAGATGCTGACGAACACAGAACTAACAGCATTTGGCTGGTTTGGGTCCTAGTACTCACAGATTACCTGTGCTTAGATGGCCTAGCTGCCCCACAGCAGTGGGATTCAGGCCTCGGAGCCAGAACTGGATGGGAAGCCGTGCGTAGGGACACACGTGCTAGGACAAGAGTGATCTGAGCCTGCACTCCTGGCCGCATCTCATTGTAGACTGAGAAGAAGCAAGGAGCGGAAGGTCCTCCCGGTCACTGGGCTTCAGATGTGTGTTTCGTTCAGCCCTTTCCGTCTCCCAGGGGAGAAGCCAGCAGTGTCCTCGCCTTTGGAAACTCCAAGTGCTGTAGTGACTGTGTAACTGCAGAAAAGTCACGGGGAGAATATCAGAGTTAAAGTTAGCAGTTTGGTATCACAATGATTTAGCAAAACAGGATTTGTGTTAACATAGGAACTATTTAGTAGAAGATTTTTTTCAAATGTGTTTCTCATCTTTAGTCTCTCTACTTCTCTTTATGTGTTCATTCATTCATTCATTCATTCATTTATTTTCCCCTTTCTGGCAGGAATGGGTAACTGCTACTGACATCAGAGTAACACTCAATCGCCTGAACACTTTTGGAGATGAAGTGTTTAACGACCCCAAAGTTCTCAAGTCCTACTATTACGCAATCTCAGACTTCGCTGTGGGCGGCAGGTGGGTAAACAAGAATTGGAACTTTGATGTAGAACTGTTTATAACTTTATTAGCATTTAGAGACCATGAAGATCTGGAAAGGCAAGCTACAATTTAGAAATTTTTTTCTTATCAGATCTTATTCTGGAAACTAAGCAATTGGGTGTTCTGGAACCTTGTTAAGTCCACACTCATTGACCCTTTAAGTCCAGAATCTGATAATAGAGTCTGCTGAGCTGGTGCCTCGGGGAGGAGTCTTGACTTTCTCGGATCTTACAAATGAGTTAAGAGCAATCTGTAAATATGGAAAAATTCAAATGCATCCCTAATCAGCCAACTCAAGATGTCCTAGTCTGCTTTCTGCTATGATAAACACCATGTTGGGGGAGGAAAGGGGTTTACTTATCTTACAGGTCTCAGATCACAGTCTATCAGTGAGGGAAGTCAGGGCAGGAATTCCAGCAGGGCAGGAGCCTGGGACAGGAACTGAGCCTAGCTGGAAGAGTGCTCTTTACTAGGCTGTTCTTCATGGTTTGCTCAGCTTTCTCTCTTATATGATCTAGGACCACCTGGGGCTAGCACTGCCTGTGGTGGCTTGGCCCTCCCTCCTCACAGACAGCTACCAGTCAATCTGATGGAGTCTTTTTCTCATTTGGGGGAGTCCCTCTTTCCAGATGCCCCATGCTTATGCTAAGTTCATAGAAAAACTAACTAACCAACACACAAAACTTGATATTTCCTGATGCTCAGGTGACATTACAAGTGGAAAGTCAACATGCAGGTCCCCTGGGTTGTGTAAAATTACCTTCAGGCCATGAAGTTTGTGTTGTGACTTGGTCCCACTCTCAAGATATAGCAGTCTGTTTTTGAAGAAAAAAAAAAGAAAAAGAAAAGAGAGAGGGAGAGAGAGAGAGAGAGAGAGAGAGAGAGAAAGAAACCACAAACTTTCCTTCCCGGGCACTTGGAGTGGGGGTTGCTCAACTTGTGCTAGTGTGCCCATGTGTTCTAAACAAACATGTCATGAGGAGCAGGTGGCGTCTGGGTGGGTCTTAAATAACAGGTAGGAGGTGTCTGGAGTGAGTGCAGGAGGGTGGGTGTATTTCAGCAGAGCTCAGGGAGTGTAACTTCACTTGATGGGAAGAAAATCTCTTTGCAGGACTATAAGCCAGAAAATGGAGTTATGGTCATGGACTTTCTTCCCTTGTATTGCCCATGAGATCTCTATGAAGCAGAAAAATTAGTTTGTATCTGGTGTTCCTGCCATGCATAGGGAGATAGGTTTGAAATGTAACCATGAGAAATTGCACAGTGTTGGGCATGAAGCTATAAATCAAAGCTGGGTTAGGAAGATGAGTGCTTGGTGAGAGCAAGGTATAGTGGTGCATAGTTGTGAAGCCCATTACTCTATACGCTGGCCTGCAGAATCAACTCAAAATGTTTAGGATCAGTGTGCTAACAGGGTAAGGGCAGTGTGGTTGGTGGAATTTCTATTTCTGCTTTGATGCTGTATAATCTGGATATTAAACAACAAACTCCTGACATTAGGCTGCTGACAGATCAAAAAGGATGCATTTTACTGTGAAGGGAAAATTACCAGGTCTTTAGTCAAAGATGCTCTCAAGGTCTAATGATAAGGAGAACGGTGGTACTAAATTTAGAAAGTGGACCAACCTGGAGAAGATGATACATTTAGTCTTAGACTTGTGGAGTTTAGGTTATAGGGAGACATTAAGTTTGTACAGCCACTTAGGACAAGAGCCTTGGAGAAGGATGGGAACAGGGTTCTAAAACCAGGACTGATCTCTGCACATTGAAGATGATTCCAGTGTGCACAGGCATTTTTAGGTGGTAGTTGGAGCTACAGAATCACTCTTTAAGGAAGCAAAGTAAGAGAAATGTCTCTGCTCCAGCCACATTCACATCTCTGGGAGTTTCCTTGGGTTCTTATTACTGTACTTGCCTCTAGGGAGATCCTTCAGCGACCTCTGCCCTGGAGAGCCCAAGGAAATAATCTGTCTACTGGACATCTATGGGGAATCCATTGTTAAAGTCAGTGTCTCACTTCCTTCAGTGAGAAGCATTAATCATTAGGGTGAATTTTTGCCATATGCTTTAACTTAGGTTCTCTTTAGTTCTGTATGCAGAAACTGGGCAATTCCCAGTGGCTCTGAGAGAGACTTTATCATGTCTGTCTTACAGGTGGGATTTAGGCACACTGTTAGTGGCAGGGAAAGGTTCCAAATCCAGGTGACCTGGTGTCAGACTTTATGTAATTCTTAGCCACCGTCTTCTGCTGCTTCCTGAAAGTCTTGACATTAGGAAATATCCTGCTGGTGTTCTTGGAAAATGTTAGGGACTTTCTTCTGTCTAGTTAATGTTCCATAGTGTGTGTGTGTGTGTGTGTGTGTGTGTGTGTGTGTTTCAACTTATCCTTGTGAAGTTCCTCAGTTTATACTTTTGAATGGTAAATTCAAAGAATTCTTAGGTTGCTTCTGGTTTTTTGTATACACACTCCCTCTGCGTTGTTCCTAGGACCTTACAGTGATCCTGTTGTTGGCTACCCCTTCTCTTTCCAGGTGTAAGTGTAACGGACATGCCAGTGAGTGTGTGAAGAATGAATTTGACAAACTGGTGTGCAATTGCAAACATAACACATATGGAGTTGACTGTGAGAAGTGCCTGCCTTTCTTCAATGACCGGCCGTGGAGGAGGGCGACCGCCGAGAGCGCCAGCGAATGCCTGCGTGAGTGCCGCTCCTGTAGCCTGTCCCTGTCTTCAGGGTCATCGCTGGAAGAAGGGATGGGTGACTTCCTCACTGGTGGAGACTCTGAAAGGCACTGCTGGAGCAGGGGACTAAACCACACGCTCACCAGTGGGAAGTGATGGATGAAGGAAGTTGGTCGTGAATAAACCCACATGGTTTTGTTTCCTTCATGAACATCGGCTAGGGAACAGAGTCACCAAGGCTCAGGAGTTTGCATAGATTCAAATACTGGGTCAGTGTGGCACCTCTTAAATGTGACCTCTGTGATCATTGTGGCCTTTTAAAACCAACCATCCCTCAGTATTCACGGGAAATGGGTTCCAGAGCCTTCCTTAGATACCAAAGTTCATAAATGTCCAAGCTCGCTGTATAAAATGGTGTAGTGTTTGCGTGTGACCATGCACCCCTCTTCCACACTCATCATCGTCAGGTTACAGATGGCATACAATGCAAATGCCATGTGAATAGTTGTCCTATATTGGGGAGTGGGGACAATAAAGAAAAGTCTGTACATACATCGAGTACTGACGTCATCCCCCCATGCTCTGTTGACAGCTGATGGAGTCGGTGTGACTCTGGGTACAGAGCACAGTCACTCCTCATCCGTGCTCACTCACGTAAGCAGCCAGCTTGGTTAGCGTGTGTCAGGTACAGTGAGTTAATTCGCAAAATCATTTTTCCTTTATTTAAAGAGAAAAGTGGAAAGAACTTACCCAACCACGGCCTGGAAATCTGAATGACTTTGGAAGGAGGGATAAGTCCTGTGCCCTAACAAAGGTCAAAATGAAGAAATTAACACTCACTTAGCCTTCATAATGCCATGGCTTGTTCTGAACAGACTGAGAGGGAAACTCAAGGAGAGTCATGATTTTCCCAAGACTTAATACAAACCAACTTTAAAGCAACCACAGTGTTCTTATGTCTTTCATCAGTGTGGGAATCAAAGGAGTAAGAAAAAGGACTCTCAGAATGTAAAGCAGTTACCATAGCGCCTTGAGAAGGCCCCACCTGCTCGTTTACGACTGTTTTTGTTGAGCTGCCTTGAGCAGAATTTATTGCACATCTTTCTTTTCTCTCAACAAATCCCAGAGCTGCTGACAAACTTTACAGCTCCCTCTGGCTTTTCCCAGCATCCAGTGAGCTCCTCCAGTCCCATCGCCATGCTAATGTAATTGGATGTTGTAAGATGAGGACTGGTGTAAGAGCCATGAAACACTCCTAAAACATGTCATCTAAACACACGTGCATTTGTAAAGTTGTGTGCATATGGATGTCATATTTCTGGTTTATGCAGGAAATAACAACCAAAATAATGTTTACCACTAGGACACGAAGCAGCTACGGTGGTTAATGGGCTTTGATAAGGAACTCACCGAATTTGCCTCCCTCCATAGTCTCCTCAGCACTAACCATTCAGTGTGAAGTAGTCACATGACTATAGCCAAACATTTAGGACACTGGGGCTAGACAGAGAACAATCCAGCCGTCTTCTCTCATCCAGCTGTTAATGAGAGAGGCACAGCTCATGCTGTAACTTCGGGTTGGAGCAGAGTGGGCATGGAAATTGTTCTGCTTCATGATCTCGGCACCAGCCCACTACTCAGCAAGGCTGGACTGACCGCAGGGTGATGGAGGGCAGCTCAGGGAAAGAGAAGTAGTCAGTGAAAGGGGAGGGCACTATACAACAGCTCCTGAGAAGGGGTAGGCACTGAAAGATGACTTAATAAAACTCCAAGTCTCGGGGCCAGCAATTCAAGTTTCTAAAAATGTTTTCAGTTGTAATTCTGTAGCAACCTATATTGTACAGAAAAAGAAAATATATATTCAGATGTTTTTTAAAAAATAATGATAGCTCTCTCATAAACCAAGCAAAACTTTGTTTTTGTGTGATGACCAAGAACTTACATATGCTTTGGACAGGTTAAGTCTGAGAAAATCATTTTACTATAAACAGAAATAAGAACTCTGTGACCACAAATATTTATTTGTTTATTTTGGAGACAGGATCTCACTGTGTAGCTCTGGCCTGTAACTCTCCATGGAGACCAGGCTGACCTCAGACTCATAGAGTTGCCTTCTGAGTGCTGTGCACCACGCCCGGCCAGTTACTTATTCTTAAAATATTGTTGTGTTTAATAGATGATCTAGTTGGAACTGTGGTTCTGCAGCAGATGGATCTGAAGGGTCTGAATTGCCCTGTAATTCTGCTTCCCTTGTCAGGCATGCTCATTTAAACCTACATGTCTCATGATCCCTAGTCTACATAGAGTAATCTGGCCCTTTGAAAGCTAACGTCTTAATGTGTTTGGATTCTTGAGGAAAAGATGTTAAAGCTGCATGATAAATTAGTACCTGGTTTATCCTGTCACTACTACAAGTAGAGGACACAGAGTTAGAAAAATGGGCCTGTGTTAGAAAAGTGGTCCAGCTGTTAGCCCAGCGCTGGGGAGACAGAGGCAGGCAGATCTCTATGTCTTCAAGACCAGCCAACACTATATAAACAGTTAGAAAATGGATCATTTGACTCGGCTCTTATGGGTTAACACCTACTGGGAGACAGGTTCTTTTCTGAGTATATGTATATGATTATCCTTTTTCTATAAGGGTGGATATTTCCTAGTAAGTGATGATCAGGCTATCTAAAGTTGGTTTTCTTTAAACAATGTGCCTGGTAGTTGTTCTATATTACCTGCCACAGAGATGTAGGGAATTGTGATTTGATTTTCTTGGGGTCTTTTAAAATGTTTTCTTAAAGGTATGCAGGTCTTGGGGGGCCATAGTGATGACTCAGAGGTCAAGAACTCTCATCCTCTTCCAGAGTTTCTTTCCCAATAAAGCACACACTGGGTGGCTCACAACTAGCTCCAGGGTGTCTGACACCTCTTTGGGCCTCTGTAGGCATTCCCCCCCACACATATGGCATTCACTCAGATACACATGTACATTTTCTTTTTAAAGGTATACACATCTGATATAACGTGCATGTTTTGACCTATAGCCTGTGACTGCAATGGCCGATCCCAAGAATGCTACTTTGACCCTGAGCTATACCGTTCAACTGGACATGGTGGCCACTGTACCAACTGCCGGGATAACACCGATGGTGCCAAGTGTGAGAGGTGCCGGGAGAACTTCTTCCGCCTTGGGAACACCGAAGCCTGCTCTCCGTGCCACTGCAGTCCTGTTGGTGAGTAACAGGAAGGAGCCGTTCCACTGGATGCAGTAAAATGGCACAGGAGTCCCCCGAATCCAGAAAAGAGCTTGGCATCCTGAGCGTGTGCACAGTTAAGGGCGGCAGTGTATATGTGCACAGTTAAGGGCAGCAGTGTGCATGTGTGCAGTTAAGGGCGGCAGTATGCATGTGTGCAGTTAAGGGCGGCAGCATGCATGTGTGCAGTTAAGGGCGGCAGCATGCATGCTGTTCTAGCCTTCTAATGCCTCGTCTTGCCTCCACGCCTCTCCTTCACTATGACGAAGTTGAACTTTCAGATAATTTTCTATGTGTATAAAAGAAGTAGTAGTTCTGTAAATAATTAGCAGCTGGGTCATAGACCATCTGAAGTTTGCCTGAGGGAGGCTTCCCCTTGTTAATGATTTTGTTTAGTCTAATCTCCTCAGAGGGCTGAGCTGTGTCCAGCATGTTAGTGTGTGTCTAGAGACACACAGCATTTGGTCGCTTGTGCTTGTTGTTTTTTTTTTAATTAGGCTAATATTTTGTTGTTTGTGCTGATGTATAGTGAAATTCTAGATGAGAATTTGTACTTTTGTACACAGTGTATCCCTGGGGACTGTTTTGTTCAAGAGTGAGGTAAAAAACTAAACTCTTATGGCTTATGAAGCTATGATTCACAGAGAGCTCTCGTTTGGAATTTGGTCCTTGTTTTCTCTGAGCATCTAGAGATTACATATTGGCCATCAGGCATTGCTTTTAGCTTCTGCTCGTGTTTCTTTTGACACTGATTTTACGTCCCCATCTGTCCAGATGTGGAATTGAACGTGAACTCGTTGAATCTTAGGTTCTCTCAGCACACAGTGTGACAGTTACGGCAGATGCAGCTGCAAGCCAGGAGTGATGGGTGACAAGTGTGACCGTTGCCAGCCTGGATTCCATTCCCTCACCGAGGCAGGATGCAGGTAAATGTTTTTAGAACCAGAGACTGGTCCTGAGTCTATGCAGGAAAGTGGGAACACACTTTCCCAGCAGGGATGGCCAGCAAGCTTCAAGACTACCATGATGATGCCCCTGGGGTTCGGAGAGTACAGAGCTTTTAGTGGGTTAAGTTACTGTGCAGTGTTAGGTCTCATGGGCGATGACTATTCTCCTCTGAAACCAAATATAAAAGTAACAGGAGTTCACTCTGTCCTTTACGTAAAGCTGTTGGCTCCAAGAGTGGGTCCCTTTCCTCACTCTTCCTTTCATTGTTGTGTTCCGTTCCCGCCGAGCAGGCCGTGCTCCTGTAACCCGTCCGGCAGCACGGATGAATGTAATGTTGAAACAGGAAGATGTGTCTGCAAAGACAACGTCGAAGGCTTCAACTGTGAGAGGTAGCTCCATCTTTCTCCAACTGTTGTTCTCAAGGTGTCAGATTCCGGGTGAAAACGGTGACTGATGCTGCCGCCTTCATCTCTTTCAGATGCAAGCCTGGATTTTTTAATCTGGAATCATCTAATCCTAAAGGCTGCACACCCTGCTTCTGCTTCGGGCATTCCTCTGTGTGCACAAATGCTGCTGGCTACAGTGTTTACGACATCTCCTCCACCTTTCAGATTGGTAATTCAGCCCTTATTCAACTCTCGGGCCCCTGGAGCTCAGAGACCAGTACTACATGGGTAGTTTTTGAATCAGTAACTGGGGGGGGGGGTTGATACTAGGAATGTTTGATGTTATTTAATGTGTATTTTTTTTCTTGTGTGGCCCTGTAATGAAAACATACATATGGTTTTAGAGCACTGCCTGTAGTAAGCAGTTGACTACAAATGTTTCATTAAAAATACAGCAAAAGGTATCTTTCGGTGATAGCATATATATAGGTCTGGGGTCAAAATTTTTTATTGATGATTTTCTCTATATAAGGTGCAGTGTCACATTTTGTGGGTCTGCATATAGGATGCTTGTCATGTAAACATGCCTGTGTCTTCATTCTCTACCTGCAGATGAGGATGGGTGGCGTGTGGAACAGAGAGATGGCTCGGAGGCATCTCTTGAGTGGTCCTCAGATAGGCAAGACATAGCCGTGATCTCGGACAGTTACTTCCCTAGGTACTTCATCGCCCCTGGTAAGTGAGGCCGGAAGGCAACGTGGATGCCTGGGTGCTTCTCTTTGTCATGGTCTCACATTCTGACTCAGCCTGATGTCTGCCTTTCAGCCAAGTTCCTGGGTAACCAGGTTCTGAGTTATGGGCAGAACCTCTCCTTCTCCTTCCGAGTGGACAGACGGGATACTCGCCTCTCTGCAGAAGATCTCGTGCTTGAGGGAGCTGGCTTGAGAGTTTCCGTACCCTTGATCGCCCAGGGCAATTCCTATCCTAGCGAGACTGCTGTGAAGTACATCTTCAGGTGAGACAGTGCTCTTTGTCAACTCAGACCTGACAGCGGAGAAAGAAAAAGTGGGGTTTTCTTGTTTGTTTTATCTGAGTTGATCTGGCCTCAAGGTGTGTGTTAAAGAAAAACTTCTGGGCTAGAGGTAGTGACTAATACCTGTTGTCCTAGACCATTGGAGGTTGAGTTAAGGGGATTGCCAAGAGCTTAAGGCCAGCATAGGTTACATATCAAAATTCTCTGTAAAAAAAAAAACCCTTCTGGGTTATTGAGATGGGCCTTCCTTTATCTTCTCTTCTCTAGTTGTCTGAGAAATTGGAAATGCACTCCTTTATTTGGTTAGCTTGTCAGTGTTACCTGCAGTGGCGTCACTGAGCAGAGCAGCCTCCTTGCAGACTCTTCTTATAGAGGTTATGTGCCCTTTCTTTCTCTCCAGGCTCCATGAAGCAACAGATTACCCTTGGAGGCCCACTCTCTCCCCCTTTGAATTTCAGAAGCTCCTAAACAACTTGACCTCTATCAAGATCCGGGGCACGTACAGTGAGAGGAGTAAGTTGTGATACCGTTTAGGAATAATTAAGATGGTGAGGTAGGAAGACTTATGGTAAGGAAAAGGTCCTGTTCTGATATGTTCACACTGATCCAGACTGTTATCACCTGTGTATTAAAATGCACATTAAAACCATCATCAAGGATCTGGAGAATATTCAGTGACAGTATTACTTTATAATTAATAAACCAATTAAAATTCCATTATATGTAGATTTTCTTAAAGTCTGGTTCAGCTTGCTTACTCTTCATTTCTTTTTATTTACTGCCATGTAATTATCAAGTGATTTGAACTATTGGCTAAATTATGAGAAATCATATACTAGCCAGTGAACATTTGCTTTAATTTTATATAAAAGTTTAAAAATATGTCTTTAAGCATTTACTAATGAGGACTTTTCCCCCTTTGGTAATGTAAAGGTTGCAGCTTGGATGTGTTGGGTTTGCTTGTTTTTGAGCTTTCTGCATGAATGTCCATATAAAAATGTCTTATGAGTAATTACTAATGTGGATCTGAGCCCTTGGAAGAAGTTTGAATTACAAATGTAGATTGTGTCTACATTTTGGATATTTACTTTTAAACTTAGAAATATGGCAGAAAACAAAGAAAGGGAATGGGATCCTAGAAACACAGTTGAGGGCTGTGCCCTGAGGCCAAGGGAGGAAAAGAATTTGGAGAAGAAAATAATTGGAGATTGAGGACAAGACCACCACCAGGTTTTAGGTGGGGATTGAGAAGCCACTGGGTTTGACTCTGTGGTGAAACTGAGTGGCTCAGAGGAAGATCGCTGGACTCCCTGAAAGGTAATTTTGAATGAGGGACAGTAAAATAAAGAATATTCTCTTGAAGTTTGGCTGCAAGAGAGAAAAAGAGATGAATTATCATTTAGGAGTAGGAGCAAGATTGAAAGAAGAGTATTTTTAGGCCAGGGAGCTGTAAGAATGTTTAGATATTAGAAGCACATCATAACTCATGATCTGACTGGCAAAAACCAGAAGCATATTAAAAGCTACGTTCAAGCCAGTACTCTAAGTATCCTTTGGCCTAGGTGGTCAGTTTCCACGTGAATTATATAAACAGAAAGTAATGCTCCATGACATGGAAGGAATGTACTTTAAGCAAAAGACTGTGAAGGACTCCAGTAGAATAGAATTAAAGGGAAACATGATAGTCTCTCCAAAGCCCATGTTTATACCCTTAGAACATTGCCACTGGTTCTGCTAGATCAGATGGACCATCGTCTAACTCAGTATAAGCCTTAGTTGTCCTTATGGGAATGGAAGCGCACTCTGACATAATGGCTTTGGGGTTATTGAATATATGTCAGAGCTATATAGTCTGTGTATGTGTGTGTCTATAAGTTTGCCATACCTCTCCTCCGTGTGCTTAGCATCCTGTACCACCTGGTTGTCTTAAATGCTATTTTCTGGTTATCATTTCTGGTTAATGACATCAGGTCATGGTCAGTTTTGTCTGGACTCTTGGGTCTGGCTCTTACACGTTGCTGGCTCTTCATAAGCATTTGGACCCTGGAAAGCACTTCAGTGGTTCTCTTTCCCACACCACAATCAGGTGCTGGATATTTGGATGACGTCACCTTGGCAAGTGCTCGTCCTGGGCCCGGAGTCCCTGCAACTTGGGTGGAGTCCTGCACCTGTCCTGTGGGGTATGGAGGGCAGTTCTGTGAGATGTGCCTCTCAGGCTACAGAAGAGAAACTCCGAGTCTTGGACCTTACAGCCCATGTGTGCTCTGTACCTGCAACGGACACAGTGAGACCTGTGACCCCGAGACAGGTGAGAAGGCCCTGAGGCACTGCTGGACCCGAGGGTCCTTTTGCCATTAGTAGTGGCACCCATTGATTAACATGTCACGTACCTAATGACTTACCTTGATTTGTTTCCAAAATAGGTGTCTGTAACTGCAGAGACAATACAGATGGCCCTCACTGTGAGAAGTGTAGTGACGGATACTATGGAGATTCAACCCTGGGCACCTCCTCTGACTGCCAGCCTTGTCCCTGCCCTGGTGGCTCAAGTTGTGCCGTTGTTCCCAAGACAAAGGAAGTGGTCTGCACGCACTGTCCAACTGGCACGGCCGGTGAGTGTGCCCTGCTCATACCCGCTTCAGTGTTCTGTAGAGATGTCGGCGTTTGCACGGCCTGCCTCAGCTGTCCTCACGACCTGGGAGGGAGAAAGGTGTAGAAACAGTGAGGGCCACATCCAAGGCTGTGTGGTGAGACACAGGTGGGCTGCGGCTGCAACCCGGGCTTTGGGACTCCAAATAGAACTATCACAATACTGTCATCTCTCACAATGTGAGAACCCAAACTGGCCTTTAGCGTAGGCTTGTCTGGAATTGTTAATGTGAAATAACAGTTTTAAAATTATTTCTTTAAATCATCCTTTCGGTATTTCAAAGTTGGTCACGACCCCTTCCTGGCTTCCCTTGTCTCTGCTGTGAGGGGCAGAAAGACAAAGCCAGGGCTGAAACAGTGTATCACCCACTCAAAGCTGTATAAGGAGTACAGGATTTGAAATGTGATCCTAAACTTTAAAGTGAAAGGCAGGCTACCTTGTGTCTCTGTTGTAGTTTGCTATGAGCAAGTTTTCAAGCTTTTGAAGTATAGGTCATGTGTGGAGTAAGTGCATTATCAGCATGGCTGGAATGCTGCCCTTGTGCTCACGTGGAGATGGCTCTGAGGGAGCCTGGTGCTGCCCGCAGCAGGGCCAGAGGGTCCCTCATTCCTAGTCTCCTGCGTTCTGCATTCTGTTTTCTGTCCTACCTCACCTCCCGTATCTTTTGCAGTGCTCAGCTAGGGATGGTGTATGACTTTTAGAAGATAAGAAAGACCCTGCTCACCCTGTTGTTTGGAAAACTAAAAGCATCAAAAGTAGTGCTTCGTCTTTCCCAAGTTCAGCCAAAGCCTGTGTAGATGTGCTCTTTGTTGGGAATATAGAGGCTGGTAAATCCTGAGCCTGTCTCATTTACCAAGAATTTTAACATGTGATCTTGGTTGTCAGAGAATTTGAAATGAAGTAGACAAACAAGGGACCATCCTACTGAATGAGTATGTCAAGGCCACTCCACTGATCTGGCCCAGTGTTAGGGCCACAGCCTGGGTCTCTTGATAAGGCTTTCTATGAGGAAATATGAATTCAGAAAACTGTGTAGCACTCTAGTGTTGCTTTCTCCTAAATGAACGGCTCCTGTAAAGCTGGCGTTTCCTTCTGGACTGGCACGCTGCTGTTGAGCCAGTGTGTATGTAGCCAGGCCCTTGTATACCATGGCCAGACTAGACAGTATGTCCCTGTTGGTGATTCACAGCAGGAATGCCTCAGGCCTTTCTTCCTTAACCTCTGATTCTCTCGTTCCCAGGCAAGAGATGTGAGCTCTGTGATGACGGCTACTTTGGAGACCCTCTGGGCAGCAATGGGCCCGTGAGACTGTGCCGTCCATGTCAGTGTAACGACAACATAGACCCCAATGCTGTTGGCAACTGCAACCGCCTGACAGGAGAATGTCTGAAGTGCATCTACAACACCGCTGGCTTCTACTGCGACCGGTGCAAAGAAGGGTTTTTCGGCAATCCCCTGGCTCCCGATCCTTCAGACAAATGCAAAGGTCAGCCACCGCCAGATTCAGGCACACATACACCTCGATGTGCAAATTCGCCGTGTGTCTCTTTCAGTACAGACAGAAGTTTGCGCAACTGTAGTACTGGCCTGTGAAAATGTGGTGTGAACCACTTGCACAACTTAAGATCACTAAATACCGCATTAAAAAAGTGAAAGAAACAGGAGAATTCATTTTAATATATTTCATTTAACCTAATATAACCACTATTTTATTGCTTCAGCTGATAATTAGTTGAAAACTGTTAATGAGATAGGTATTCTTTTCCTACTGGACATTAACAAAGCCAGCGTGTGTTTCAGTTGATGGCACATCTGTCCAGATTACCCAGACACACTGTATGTGACTGGGCAGCTCCTGCACCTGACAACACAGGCCTAAAGACCTGTACTGTTGTCCCTTGTGATTTGCATCTGTGCTTTCTCTGTCTTCCCCCTACCCCCAGCCTGCGCCTGCAATCCCTATGGTACCATGCAGCAACAGAGCAACTGTAACCCCGTGACCGGGCAGTGCGAGTGTCTGCCTCATGTGTCGGGCCGGGACTGTGGCGCCTGTGACCCTGGCTTCTACAACCTGCAGAGTGGTCAAGGCTGTGAGAGGTGAGACTTCGGAGCCTTTGGAGAGGGGAGAAGTGACCTTTTCTGTCTGTACCATAAGAAGTACAGTTTCTCAGGTCACAGTTAGTGGCTGACTTGATGTTGTTCAGGAATTGTTTTGAGGGCCTTACATAGGAAAAGCACCGCCTGAGAGGACAGAGGGGGACAGACTCGGCAGGACTGTGGCCTGGGAATCTCTGTCCAGTTCTTGGTCAGTGCTGGTAGGGTTTCAGAATGGAGCATCCTGGTGCAAGTGAGGCTGACAGAGAGCCCTGAGCAGCACTCACAGAAAGGACCAGAACCTTAGGGACTGAGCGTTCTACCTACCAGTCCTTAACACCCTGCCTTTGATAGAGAATGCTGCTTACAGTTTGCTTTTCTTACCTTAGAAATGTCTTGTGTTTCTTTTCAGGTGTGACTGCCATGCTTTGGGTTCCACCAATGGGCAGTGTGACATCCGCACTGGTCAGTGTGAGTGCCAGCCTGGCATCACTGGTCAGCACTGTGAGCGTTGTGAGACCAACCACTTCGGCTTTGGCCCTGAAGGCTGCAAACGTAAGAATGGTGGCTTGCAGTGCTTGAGTTGGAGTATCCCCCAACTCCGGCTGATGCTGTCAGTACAGAAAGAACCGATAGCCGGTTAATGCCGTAAGCACAGAGAGAACCCCATAGCCTGTGTGGCCATCAGTGGTGGCTTGCAGGCCATGTCTTCCAATTCCAACTAACGCTCTAAACACAGAGAGAACCCCATAGCCTGTGTGGCCATCGTGGAGATTATTCTGTGGATATTATAAGTTGCTGGAAGTCAAGGGCTTTTCTGTTTCCTTCGTGACCACCTTGTTAATGTCACCTTTTGTGAGTTTTTTATACTTCTCTTTGCAATCTTGTTTTCTAAAGAAAAAAAAAACCTCCTGAGCCCTGAGCTTGCCTACTCTGCCTCATGAAACTTGTTTATTGATCACATTATCATTGCAGATAAGGGAACAGTAATGGGTTCTGTTCAGTATTTGTTGACTCACTGTGCTTACTCTCCACCCGTGGGGCCTTTTTGGTTTGGCTGGATATAAACATCTGCTTCTCCTTGGCATAAACACTTGCCTGGAAATCAGAACAGTTTGGGTTCTTGTTTTCTGAATTCCTTCGTTTCTCCTGTGGAATGCAGCATAAGTCATTGACTCAGCTCAGTGAACAAAGTGAGAAAACAAACTGAAAAATAATGCAAGAGAAGTGTTAGCATTTGGGGTTTCTTATTTCTTAGAGAAATTTAAGCTGTGGAAAGATGAAAGTAGAGAGGAATTCCTAAAGCATATGAAAAAGAACACTACTTAGTTTAATAATCACCATATGTATGTGTCTGAGTATGTACACACACACACACACACACACACACACAGAGTTTTTTTTTCCCCCTTCCCTAAGTAGCCCAGGCTCGCCTCACTTCCCTTTCCTCCACTTCTCAGAGGCACATTCCCTACCATTCTGGTAATTCTGTAATGACTGTGTCCCAAGGGTAGGGAGATGGCTCAGTGGATAAAGTGCTTGCCATACAAACAAGGGAACTGAGTTAAGATCCCCAGCACCCACATAAAAAGGTAGCTGTGCATCTGTACTTGCAGTGCTGGAGCAGGTAGATCCCTGGAGCTCATTAGCGAGCCAGACTTCCCTGTTGTTGGGAACTAGGCACAGTGGCACACACCTTTAGTCCCAGCATTCGGGAAGCAAAGGTAGACAGATCTCTTGTGAGCTGGAAGCCAGCCTGGTCTACATAGTGAGTTCCAGGCCAGCCAAGGCTACATAATGAGACCCTGTCTCAAAAACCAAATGACAGAAGTAAGGCAGAAAGTGATAGAGGAAGATAGATACCCAGTGGTGACCCCTGGCCTCTGTGGGCACATGCATGTGTGTGCACAGATGAACACATACACCACACACAAAAAGTGTGCCCAAAAGGGTGCTCATTTTAATTTACAACTTAAAATGTCTGTCTTCTCTGCTCAATGGACTTACCTATTTAAGATCTCATAAATGAATTTTTCTAAGTGCTTAGAATGATGTTACAACGAGTTCAGATGAGAATTGTCTTAATTGTCTTCTTGTTCTGTAGCTTGTGACTGTCATCACGAAGGGTCGCTTTCACTCCAGTGTAAAGACGATGGCCGCTGTGAATGCAGGGAAGGCTTTGTGGGAAATCGCTGTGACCAATGTGAAGAGAACTATTTCTACAATCGCTCTTGGCCTGGCTGCCAGGAGTGTCCAGCTTGTTACCGGCTGGTGAAGGATAAGGTAAGCTGGCAGTAGTGCATTCATTCATTCATTCATTCATTCATTTCTCATCTATTCAGAGAACACCAAGTGGACACTCAGTATACTCTAGGCTCCAGAAAGAAAAATGGTGAACACATTTGTTCTGGTCTCTCTTCTCAGAGGCATACTTTCTAGTTAGGGGGAAGTGACCAGAACTGCGTACATGAGAGAACCCCGAGATGAGAGGCTGAAAGAGTAGGGATGGATACCATCTATGGGAACTGGGTAAGGCCTCTGCAAGAAAACTCTTGGGAAGTGAAAGCCGAGGGTGAGGAGAGGGAGCCATGTGAGGAGGAATGCTGGGCAAGGCGTGGACCCCGGGAGCTTCTGGATCCTGCCCTGCAGAGGAACTTGGTTGGTGGCAGGTTCTATAGGACTGTGTTGACAATAAGTGAGGACTTTAGGAATTATTTCCAAATATGACGGAAGTGTCCAGCGGTCCATTTGTACTTTCAGAGGAGTGTCCTGACTACCACAGGAGGAGTGGTCACCAGGGACAGGATAAGGGAGAGCCTTTGAGTGGGTGGGGTAAATAGGTGGGGTGAGAGAGCAGGGTAGGGAAAAAGAAGACTCAAGAAAGGGCCTTGGACCTTGAGGTTTTCACTTTACGTTGCTGGAGATGCTGTTTACTGGGAATCCCCAGGGAGGACAGGTTCTGGGTTCAGTTTGAGAGGCCTGGCGGAGCTCTCAGGTGCTCGGAGGGAGCTGGAGAACCCTTAGTAGACTGTGTGTGCAGGGAGAGAGTGGTTTTAAGAGTTTGCTTTGGAAGCCAGAGGAAAAGACAAGCCACTTCTGTCTCTGCTGTCTGTGTGAGCAGGCGTGTGTGGGGTCACAGTCCTTCAACTTCTGCCTGTGCTGCCTGTGTGAGCAGGCATGTGTGAGGGCACAGTCCTCCCACTTCCGGAGCTCCCCGTGATCCCTGCAGCACCCACGCCAGTTCTCTTGTCCTCCTCAGGTTGCTGAGCATCGAGTGAAACTCCAGGAGTTAGAGAGCCTCATAGCAAACCTCGGCACTGGGGACGAGACGGTGACAGATCAAGCCTTTGAGGACAGACTGAAGGAGGCAGAGAGAGAGGTCACAGACCTCCTTCGTGAGGCTCAGGAGGTCAAAGGTATACATGATCATGCTGAACGACTGATTCGTTTCTAGTTTACAATTAATATGGTTTTTATAAAGTTCTCAGTTTTTAAACTGCTTGCAGAATATGTTTTTGCTTTTTAAGTTTTATTTTAGACAGAGTCTCGCTGTAGCTCAAGCTGACCTGGCACTCAGTATGTACGTTCAAGCTGGTCTCAAACATGTGGCTGTCCTCAGCCTCCTAAGTGCTAGGATTACGGGCAAGAACTGCCTGCCTGGCTGTAAGTTATTTTATTTTAAAGGCAACATTTCAAAAATGACCTATAGTCTTAATGCTTTAAGATGAAATAAACAGGGATAACTTCCCACTATATCAAAACTATTGGTTGTTCAGGTTTGAAGTATTTTATGAATCTGTTCCTTTACATACAAAGAGTCTGAAGTTTAAACTATCATTAAAGTCAAGCATTTTTTAGGATGTTTGTTTCTCAGCTACAACTTCTGAGGAGCACTTTTTTTATTTTAATCTCCCACTGTTCTAGTGGGTGAGAATTTAGTTGGTGTATGGCTTTATTTTCTTCACTGTGACTATGAGAACAAAAAAGCAAAACAAAACAAAAAACATGGTCTTCAAGCATTGGTTGAACAACTAGCTACTGAACATGCAACACTTGGTATTTGTAAAAAAGAAGTCTTAGAAATCAGTGCCTGTGTGTGAAAACGTTTGTCTGTTTAGCACGCTATGTGTTAGCATTACATACTAGTGCACATCGTATGTACCACGCCTATCCTAAGGTCTTCTGCATGTGCTATGACAAGATGGAAGAGAGAAAGGAGATCAGCCTCAAACTTCAAGGATAGATATTTTAAAACATTCTGCTGACTTTCAAAGAAAATTGTTTTTAAAAGCTTTAAAGTTGAAATATTATTTTAAATCAAATACTTGCTTTTCGGATCACTTTAAATTTTTGGTTTTAATTCTTACTCTGAATTAAGCTTTTTTTCTAAACTTTTTACAGTGGTTGAGCGCCTATAGTAAGCCTGGTGTTGAGCTCGGCCCCAGTAGTGGGAAGGTGGGCAAAGCTGTTCCTGTCTGCAGGATGCTCACCATCAGGCGGAGTCCCCTGTGTGTCATGGGACAAGTGTGTTCCCAGAGGCACGTAGTAAATGTTCATTAAAGTTTCCATGCATGGGGCAGCAGTGATCAACTCTGAGTTTATAAATATATATATTCACTTTGGAGTTACATGGAGAAGTCTGCCTGTCTAAAAATTTAGATCAGAAACTAAATAGATTGCTTTTTTTCTTCATGTAAATATCGCTAATGTATAGAGTTTTAATTTTATATAATTATTGAAACAGGGAAGGAAGTATCTGGACATATTTTGTTTTGGCAAATTTGTTTGATTTCTTTTTTTTTTAATGAAAGTCCACAATTTGTTTCATGTGAAATTATTTTTTAGAAATTAAAAAGAAGATGTTGATGGCTTATTATAATGTTAGATGCATCTGCTTATTTGTTTGGGGGTGTTTGTTGGTGTCATTTTAAGTGGTACACGCTGCCTAGGAAGAATGGACCACCCTCCCATTTAGGATGTTCGTTGTGTCAACCACTTTGGCATTGTGGTTTCCACTGACATGCTCTATTAGAACAACAGATTCTCACATTATTTGGTGTACTCTACCTCATAGGGTTGGTTATATTCTGACATGCCAGTTAGGCTAACCACATCCTGACAGCAAGCTCTTGGCCAGTACCACCAATGTACAAGAGTAGGCCCAGGGCCAAAGAAGGGCAGCAAGCCTGGGCACTATCATTCTATGCTACTTGGTATGGCCGAGCTGCTGACCATGTCCTCTGCCACAGTAACCACGTATTTTCCTGTGCCCACGTAGACAGTCTGCTGGCCGGAAACTTCACCATACTTCCCAACACCACGGGCAAGCTGGCTGCACAGTGGTTTGTTGCTTCCTCCAGCCCTAGGAGCCTCCCATAGACTGGGGTAGAATTGTCTTTCTGCGGTTCCTGAGCTGTGGAGTTCCCAGCTGGCCTTCCCTGCGTAGGTTCAGACTAGCCAGGAGTGAGAAAACCTTTGTACTGTAAGGACTCCCTTGTAGTGGAACCCAACCTAATCTGCAGATCTGAAAGAAGATGGCATGGACGGTTCAGGGCCGACAGGTAGACACAGGAATTGCAGGACGGCTGACGTGAGCAGTTAGTGTCTGTTGTCTGCTCTGGTGCCATCGAGAACTGGACAGCGAGACGTGGCTGTTGGCTCCTCAGAGTCTAAAGCAGTGGCTCTCAGCCTTCCTTATTTTTAAGTAATACACTGAACATAAAAATTATACATAGTCATAGAGTATTAATGTTTTGGAGTGGGTACATATATGCATCGCACAGAGCTTAAATCAGGTTAAATATCTACTTCTCAAACATTTATTATTTCTTCATGGTGAAAACTTTCAAAACCCTTTCTTCCAGCTTTTTTAGCGCTGATTTTCCTGGTTGCCCGCTCACTATTCAGCAGCGCATCAGGACTTCTTAGAGCTCTCTAAGGCTCTGCCCACTGCCCACCCTCCCCCTCCCCTGCCTTCTGCTGCATGCTCACACGCTCACACTCTTTTGTTCCCGTCAGCTGTTTTATGCTTCCACATCTGGGTGAGGTCCAGTGGCCCTCTTTGCTCTGTGTGTGTATTTCGCTCACGGAATTATCGTCCTCCATCTATGTGGTTGCAGATGGTAGGATTTCGTTCCTTCTCACAGTCACACCGTCTCTTTGTGTTTATGGACCGTTTCACTAATCATTGATTGGTAGACCCATTTGTTGTTTTGACTGCTTAGCTACTGAGAAGAGTGTCTCAGTGATGGGGTTGCAGGTGTCTTCTTGACATCCCCTTGCATGTGGGATTGGGATTACTGGATCAGGTTGGTTAGTGCTGAGTGTTTTCCATGATGGCTGCACTGACTCCCGTTCCTGACAGAGCCCTTCTCTGTGCCCTCAACCAGCACGTGTTCGCTACAGTCTCTCTGGTAGTAGCCGTACTGACTGAGGTGACGTGGTCTCTCATTGAAGTTTTGATCGAATTTCCCGATGATTGACAGTGTTAAACATTTTTCCAGCTACCTGTGTGTCATTTGTGTGTCTTCTTTTGAGAAATATCTGTTTATGTGTGCTGCCCATTTGTTAACTTTTTCCCCTTTTCGGTAATGAGTTTTTAAGTTCTTAGGGCTGCCAGGTGCACAGCTTGTACTTCCTGTCCCTCCAACTTGGCTGTCTCCACGCTCTTGGTGGCTTCCTTTGCTGTGCAGCCTTTCAGTTTGATGTAATTGCATTTGTCTAGTTTTGCTTTTATTTCCTGTGTTTTTGGGGCCTTGTCCAAGAAATCCTTGCCAGTTCTAGAGTCCTGAAGCATTTTTGTTTTCTTTCAGTAATTTCATTATTTTAGGCTTTCTATTCAAGTGTTTAGTGGTGTTTATAACTGGGAGGGTTAAAGAAAGGTACAGCTTCATCCTTTGTGTGCTAGTCTGCTTTTCCAGTCCCATTTATTGACCCAACTCTCTCTCCTTTTCCTGGTGTGTATTTAAAGTCTTCTGAGAGCTAGCTGGCTGCAGATGTGTGGGTGTATTTCCAGGCTCTCTTCTGTTCCAAGAACTGGTCGATTTTAAATAGAATTTGAAAGTTTGCATGTTAATAAAACCTCCTGACATACGAGAATTTAATACTGGCAGCCTTTATATTTGCACAGGTTTATAATTATCATTTGATTTATTGGGACCCAAGCATGAGGTTTAAGTTCAATGGAATAATAAAGTGCAGTTTGAGGGACTCCGTTGAAGCAGAGATCCAATTGAAAATTGCATACGTGTGCTGGGACAGAGGTGGAGTGGGGAGGAGCAAAAAGTTTACCTAGTTTAAAATGCAAAGAAGTTGTGTTTGCCATACGTTAGTGTTGTTCTGTTTGATTGATTTTGAGTAGTCAGGGTTTTATGTAGTATCCCTCCATTCCATGTAGACTAGACTGGCCAGGAACACAGAGAGCCATCTGCTTCAGCTTCCTGGATGCTGGAATTAAAAGCGTCCATCATCACACCTGGCATCTGCTTCACATGTACTTGTTAATTTGTAATGTGTCAGGCTTTAGGGCTGACAACACTTCAATATTATGCAGTTGTGATTAAATCTGACATAGTATGAAGATCCATTTTCCTTTCCTTCATCCATCTGCATGCTTGGTTGTCTCTGCTTTGCTGACTTTTGTGTAAGATTGTGGACCCAGTGATGGACAGGAAAGGGAGAAGTCCCCTGGGACAGACAGTGAGGTTGGGAGTCGTGCATGCATGCCAGGGTACAGTGGAGCCGTCACCTCTGCTGGGGGTTGGGGAAGATGCTGTTGTGATAATGAAGACACAGAGCGCCCCAGCTTCACATGGGTGACGTGATGGTCATTTACAGGCTGTCTGTCTGCAATGCCTTTCAGATGTAGATCAGAATTTGATGGATCGCCTTCAGAGGGTGAATAGCAGTCTACACAGCCAAATTAGCCGACTGCAGAATATCCGGAATACTATAGAAGAGACCGGGATCTTGGCTGAACAAGCACGGTCCCGTGTGGAGAGTACAGAGCAGCTGATTGAGATTGCCTCCAGGGAGCTCGAGAAAGCAAAAATGGCTGCTGCCAATGTGGTGAGTGACTCTGAAGTTCCGGTGGGTAGGGTGGGTTGTTGGGAAACTTGTAGCAGGTCATTCTACTCCACCGAGAATCTGCCACAAATGTGTCTTCATCCTCCTACCTGGCTCCCTGAAGCAGGAGAGCCATGCTGCTCATCGTCACTGAAGCGGTTCTGGCAAAGCTAGCAGAAACAGCTTAAAACAGGAGAGGGCTACTTGGCTCGTAGTTCCTCAGCATGGGCAAAGGACAGCTGTTGGTAGTGGCAGAAGCGTGTGGTGTCTGCTCACACAGCAGCCAGATCCAGAAGCCAATGGGACAGAAGCGGAACAGGCTATTTCCCTAAAAGCCTATCCCAGTGACCCACCTCCTAAGTAAGCTTCCATAGCTGCCCCTAAACACCAGCTGGGAACCAGGCTTTCCAACACAGGAGCTTGAGAGGGTCATCCCAGGTTCTAACCTCAACAATTGTCACAAAACAGAAGGACCTGGATAGAAGCAGAGGGATGTCTAGGTTTTTTCTCTCACTTCCCTCTTCTGCAGCACTCAAAATAGAAATAGTTTCAAACCAGAGGTGCTGATAAGAACTAAAGAAAAAAAATATTTTGCATAAGAATTAACAAAAATTAAGTCAAGCAGTGGTAGCACACACCTTTAATCCCAGCACACAGGAGGCAGAGGCAGGTGGATCTCTGTGAGTTCAAGGCCAGCCTGGTCTACAAGAGCTAGTTCCAGGACAGGTTCTAAAGCTACAGAGAAACCCTGTCTCAAAAAACAAAACAAAACAAGCAAACAGAAAAAGAATTCACAATAATTAGTGTTAATACTTGCTTTATTGAATTTAGACAATTCAGTCTTTTGAAAATCCATGTTTTATTTCCTCATCAGTCAATCACTCAGCCAGAGTCTACAGGGGAACCAAACAACATGACGCTGTTGGCAGAAGAGGCACGAAGGCTTGCAGAGCGGTAAGCTGTAGCATGCTGCGGGGTTCAGACGCAGTGCCCCAGCTGACCTGTGCATGCCATCCCCTCCCATGCATGCTTTTCATTGTAGGTTTGCCCTCACTCTAATGTTACAGCTCTGCATACTCTTTCTCTTTCACTTTGAAATTGGAATAATTTATCTTAAAGTATTAGAATATACTAGTTTAGAACAAAATTATATTTACATATATCACAGATTGCAACTTTTTTAGACTTTTTTCAACTTTAAAGCCTTCAAATTTATAGATTTCTAAGGAACCCAATAGAAGTTATTAACTTAAAATTTTTACATTAGTTTTCAACAAATATTTAATTTTCAGTTCTCAATAGAAAACACTTAAACTCATTGCACATTTGAAAGTAAGCCAAAGAACACTGATCATTTCATTCCTGGTTTGTTTGCTTTTTAGACACTTTTAAATTTATTATAACTTCTTTGGAAGGCTTTAAATTGCATAAGAAATTGACTTTTTAAATGGCTAAAATGTAGGCAACTGTGAGAGCAGACATCTTTGTATGGAGTCTCAGTACAGATACTCAGTGCAGAAGTCAGAACTGTCGACTCTGTCCAGAACAGTGGCACTGCCGCCTCACAGGTTCAGGTTGCATTGACCTTAGCAGGTTCATTTCTGTTCTGGGTGAGTGTGAGTTTGTGAGCCATGGAATCACCTTTGCAGAACATTCACGGTTTTATGGTTTTACTGTTGGATTTTCTTACTAAATTAAGAAGATAGCTGAAAACATGGAAGCTCCCAAGAAATCTAGGTCCCGGAAACTTACTGATGTGATGGGCTTCATGTGAGGATGTAGGATGAAGTTTTTTTT